AATAGACACCAGATATGTGCAAAGATAACTTCACCTAATGGATTAAACTCATGAGGAAAATGTCAAATAACACAAATACTTAAGCTTGCAAACATGCATAATAAATTAATAACAATATGATGCAATGGGAAACTAGTTCACTGTGGGACAGACTGCGTCAATAATCAACATTCAACACACCTTTATGGCTTTATTCATTTCAACTTCACACTTCATTGGGCAGAACACTTCGGTAGAATTTTTTTTTCAATTTTTTTTTCACTTATTTAAGAACGGGTAGTAATTAACTAATATAGAATTCATTCAATTCAATCAATGGATAAGATATTGGGAAAATTGAGGGAATATGAATAAAAACAATGTCAACTGATAAACTAGAGGCACTGATGAACGGTCAGCGATGTTAGACGAGGGGGGAGCATAGTTAGAGACGAAGTTACTTACCTGCAATGTTAGATCGGAGATGGTAGCCGGAGCGATGGTAGACGGCGTCGGCAGATTGCTCTCTTCACCTCCCCTTCAGGCTTCAGCCGTTCAACACTTCGGCGCCTATTGATATGTGATATGTCCGATTTCGATTGTTCGTCGACTATGGCTTCTCCGCCTGAATGAAATAGCGGAGAAAGAGCGGCGCTTTCTCTTCCAGTCTTCCGCAGTCCGCAAGTTCCCTGGCGGCTTCTTTCTGTGCTCCACTGCTCCGTATTTCCTTCAAAGCTACGGAGTTGGGCCAAATGATAGGGAGTTGGGCCAAATGATAGGGAGTTGGGCTTTTCAAATGATAGGGAGTTGGGATAAAAATAATGATTTTTATAAATAATATATATTTTCGGTGCGGTTCGGTTCAACCGACCTTTATCATATCAAAAACCGATACCGAACCGAGATAGACTTCCGGTCCCAATTTTCGGGTCCCAATTTTTTCGGTTCGGTTCGGGTTTTTTCTTTGACGGTTCAGTTTTTTTCGGTTCGGTTTTCGGTTTTTCGGTTCAAATTGCCAGCCCTACAACTTAATGCTTTTCCTATATGACATGAAAAAATGAGTCATAGAAAGTCACTCGAGAGTTTTTCCTATTTGTCTCGGAAGTTAGGAATGACAGGATCGATCAGCATAAGTCAGGTGATGTTTGTTTGTACTTCGTATTAAAATGGACTTTTTAGTACTACTAATCTGCTATTTGGATGGATACGGATACACCGATATGTCGATACGCGTATACGAGTACGGTGATACGGCAATTTCAAAAACTATAGGATACGGGTACGCGGGTATATTTATAAATAATAAAAATATAGGGTATAATTTGCAAGTATATATAATTCTGAGGTTCATAAATAAAATAATAATAGTACACAAAAATAACTATTATAATAAATTTCAAAAATTAGGCTAAAAAAACAAGTACTGATATTTCGATTTAAATTCGAATAATATTTTTGGTTCTCTATTTGCATTTACGACTTGTTTCAATTAAAGCATCAAGCGATAAAATGACAAATTATAGTATTACAATATTTTTCATACTCCTGAAATCATCTTTATCAATGTTTCACATCTTGTGGTCGCTTGGGCGACTACTAAATTTTCGTCATGGCGTGTATGAAATGAGGGTTGTAGGGTTAGATACGTGTATCGGTTCACGGATACGGGTATCGAAAGTATGGGTATTTTTAAAAATAAGTGTAATACTTTTATTAAATTACGGATACGGACCCAATACGTACATGACGCGTATCAGTGAGTATCGATATCGGATACATATAAGATACGCGAATACAGCATCGGGTGAAGTATCGGTGCAACATAGCGTAGTAGTATATGCAATTATACATGCATGCGAATCCATGCTTGATTGCATAACCAATAACCAATTAAGTACATTGCAAATCTCCCTTTCTTACAATTTATGTGCATTTCTTTAATTCTTCATATTTTGATTTTGAACTTGAAATTTTGTGTTAATTGAAATTTAACTTATACTTGAACAGGTTCTTGAATGCTGGGATATTCGGGTTTGGGACGGAAGCGTCCCACACGCTGCCCCACTCCGCTACTCGGGCCGCCATGTTAGTGAGGGTCAACACCTTGCTCCAGGGCTACTCCGGCATCAGGTTTGAGATCTTGGAAGCTATGATCAAGCTGCTCAACCACGACATCACCTCCTACCTCCTCCTCCGTGGGACCATCACAACATCCGGCGACTTGGTCCCAATCTCCTTAACTGGTCGTGCCAACTCCCAAGCTATCGGCCCGAATGGGGACTCTCTGAACGCACAACAGGCGTTCAAAGATGCCCACATCGTAGTTGGGTTTTGCGAACTACAGCCCAAAGAAGGGTTCGCGTTGGTGAACGGCACTGCCGTCGGCTCTGGCCTGGCATCAATTGTATTATTTGACGCCAATGTTTTGGCGCTCTTGTCGGAGGTTTTGTCGGCATTCTTTGCTGAGGTCATGCACGGAAAGCCCGAATTCACTGACCATTTGACCCATAAGTTGAAACACCACCCGCGACAAATCGAGGCTGCTGCAATAATGGAACACATTCTCGAAGGTAGCTCGTACGTGAAAGAGGTCAACAAAGCCCACGATTTCGACCCGTTGTTAAAGCCCAAGCAAGACCGTTACGCCCTCCGGACGTCACCGCAATGGCTGGGCCCACATATTGAGGTAATCCGAGCGTCGACGAAGATGATAGAGAGAGAAATCAACTCGGTCAATGACAACCCGTTGATCGACGTTTCAAGAAACAAGGCCTTACATGGTGGGAACTTCCAAGGCACGCCGATCGGCGTCTCTATGGATAACGTCCGATTAGCTATTGCCTCCATCGGAAAACTGATCTTTGCACAGTTCTCCGAGCTGGTCAATGATTTCTAAAACAACGGTATGCCGTCAAATCTCTTCAGTGGCCAGGGCCCGAGCTTGGATTACGTGTTCAAAGGGGTAGAGATAGCAATGGCGGTGTACTGCTCGGAGCTCCAGTTTCTCGGCAACCCGGTGACGAATCATGTCCAGAGTGCCGAGCAGCATAACCAAGATGTCAACTCTCTTGGTTTGATCTCGTCGAGGAAGACCGCCAAGGCAGTTGACATTCTTAAGCTTATGACTGCCACATATATACATGGTTGCGCTCTGCCAAGCCGTTGACCTTAGGAACTTAGAGGAAAACTTGAAGGCTGCCGTGAAAAACGCGGTCAGTATTGCCGCGAAGATAGCGTTGACCATTGACTGTGAAGGGGAACTACTCAGTTGACCGAGAATACGTCTTTTCCTACGCCGACGACCCATGCAGCGAAAACTACCCTTTGATGCCAAAACTGCGGGAAGTCCTGGTGAGCCACGCCATGTCCGACGAAGAGTCGAAGAGGAACTCCGACAACTCTATTTTCTTGAAGATCAACGCCTTCGAGGAAGAACTCAGGCGGGTTTTGCCGAGAGAGAAGGCGAGTGCGAGGGGTGACATGGAGAACGGGACAGCCGCAATTCCTAATCGCATCTGGGATTGCCGATCCTACCCGTTGTACAAGTTTGTGAGGAAGGATTTGGGTACGGGTTTGTTGACTGGCGATTTGACGAGGTCGCCAGGGGAGGATTGTGACAAGGTGTTCATGGCCATGTGTGAAGGAAAACTGATAGATTCGCTGCTGGATTGTCTGAAAACATGGAATGGCTCTCCTTTGCCTCTCTCCTAGCTTCAAACACTTTGGGGGATATTCAAATCAATAATTTACAGATTATGGTTACATAACTTACATTTCACACTGTTTTTTAAACTCATCCCTTGCTGGGAATGTCTTGTATATATTCATGATGGTGTCATAATTGTAGTTTGTACTATACAAATATATGTGTGTGTGTGTTTCATGATGAGTTATGGGATATAGAATTTCTGACTATGAGTAAAATGTATTTAAAGTGTCAAGACTTCAATGTTTTATTGTACAAAGATGTGAATTCAAAAACTACCTTCTTTAATAATTACTAATATAAAACAAAATAGTAAAACAAATTTTTATAGAGATGTGCCAAATCAGGTGTGTTACTACCGCCTTCTCCAATGACGCCAGACCGCCAGTCACACCACCCTCCGGTGCTGCCACCGCCAACCTCCACGCCTATCACGCTTTCTCCTCTATTTAGGGTTGGACTCGGATCCGGGCCGGGTCCGGGTCGGGCCTAGGCCCGGGCGGGCCGGCGGGTCAGAAATGGTGGACCCGGGACCGGCCCGGGTAACCACCGGGTCCGGTCAGGGTCCGGGCCGGTCCGGGACGGGCCGGGCCCATTATAATTTTTTTTTTGTTTTCCTCTTCCTAATTAACCCCCCTCCCACCCCCAACCCCCAAACCACCCCAAATGGCCCAAAATACCCAGCCCAACCCAAAAATTTAAAAAAAATTGAAAAAAAAAATTGTTTTTGGCCCGAACCGGGCCCGGGTCCGGCCGGGTCGGGCCTTGTTTTGGGTGACCCGAGCCCGGACCGGAAAACCCACGGGAGTTCGGGAGAAAAATTCACCGCTTATACCTCTGAAATCCGTCGTGGCTGGGGGGAATTTTAAAAAAAATGTCTATATTTTTAGGTAAAAAAAATCGTGTAAATTTTTTTCCAAAAATATTCTTTGTATTGGTCCGTCTGACCCAGTGCCTTTGCTCCGCTCCTACCCACCCCACTCATCTTTTGTGTGATGTAGGTTGGTAATATCTAATCTTAAAATCTAAAGTTGGTTGAAACAACATATGTACCGAGTTGGAAACTTGTAACACACACAAACACACGAGACATATATCAAATTATAAAAGGCTTTAGGCATTAACTCAATTTGCACATTATTTATATGTTTAGATTAATAAGATTTTTTAATAAAACACATTAAACTCTTGGTGGATGGTTATATTTACCTCATGCATAGCCTTTGAGGTGATCCGCCTCTTCAGTAAAATTAGGAAGCTCCACAAGTAATAATAATTAAACAAGGCATTCAATTCATTCATATATATTCATATTTCCGAGATAACATCAAATACATATCAGCCCTATAAATATATTAATGTATACATCTTCCATTATCATAAACATCTCCGATCTTCAATCATTATGTTTACGTACACATGCATGCATATAGATCTCGATAGATCAAGACCTAATTAAGACGCGCATTGACGCAAAGAGAAAATGGCAACAAGGAAAAGAGTCAGCAGCAGCGGAGGCATGGCAGCTAACATCCTCGTAGCGGTGGTGCTGATGACGGTGGTCTGGAAAGGCAACAGGAGCAATGCAGCCATTATAATGTCAGATTGTGCGAAGGGATGCATGCCGACATGCATGCGGGTAATTGGTGCGACTATAGAAGCATGCCACCCCGCCTGCGACTCTTACTGCCGACAAGTTTCCGGTAGAAACCTCCCCGCCGCCGCATCATCATCCACCGATGGATCCCATAGTTAGTTTATCCCATATTCAATTCCCACGTACCCAGGCCATCTTTCATCCTTTTCAATTCTAACCGGAGGATTATTTTGTGTAATGTTCTTTATAAATTTGTTTAATCATCTACATATGTGTAACTTAATTAATGAATCTCGTAGCAATTTTTATAGTGTATGTTAGACTTAATTTAAAGTGTTAAACAGTACGCATTGGTAAGTTTTATTGAAAGCATTTTAGATTTTTATCCAAATCATGATCTGGTCAGTTTAAAAAATCTAATTAAATACATTTCAGATACGTACTTTGCACAATATACTATTATATACAGAGTACATATATGAAATTTATTTTTAGAGTCTACAGAAAGTCATCCACCAATGTGATAAGTTCTTAAATGAACTACTCGTGATTTTGTAAAATATAAATAAAGTTCATAAATAAGATTATCAATGTTTTATGGAAAATTGCTCTAAATGGGACAAAATAAGTTTTGGAATTCCAAAATAGGACTCCTATGTTTTTCTTCCCGAAATAGGAATTCCAAAACAGATTCTGTAGGATCCTAAAGGACTAGCTTTCAGAGGCTTTGTTTAATAATATGAGAAATTTTAAGAACAATCACACCTCCCGCTCAAGTGATTTAGATTACAAAACAAGCCTGCATCCCATCAAAAGAATCTGAATGGCAAGTTCATACACACACACCACACTTCTATGTAAATGTCTAAACAAAATGAATATCGTCTACGTACCTTGAAAGCATTGCTTGTTAGAGAGTGCCAGCTCGGACTTGTGACATCACCGGGTATGGGATATTGAACATCACTAATGCATTACTTACATTTTATTCTTTGACCATTCTTCATCATTCTTTAGAGACATCCCGCCAGAATTTGATAACATGAAGGCTCTCCTCATCAGTGGATCTCTTAAGAATGACTCTAGATGCATAACCCTTCTTTCTCATTTGAAGGCATATTCCTGAGGGGTTATTCGCGGCAAGAGTGAGCAAATACAGCCAGCCCCTCTCAGACAAAAGCTTATCAGCAACAGGTAAAATCTTATTGATGACAGTAACACCATTTTCACCTCCAGCCCAAGCTGAGGTGATTCCTTCACGACCAACTTCCTCTTCAGGGGTGGGCACATAAGGTGGGTTCACAACCAAAACATCCACTAACCCAGCCAAACGCCCCTCCATTCCTGATGCAATATCAGTATTGACACACTCAACATCAACACTATGGGCATCTGCGGTCTCACGAGTCACCCTCACCGCATGAGGATTGATGTCAGTTGCAATATAATAGGAGGGGGGCTTAGATGCTACAACTTCATATCGTCGTAGAATGAGTGCTAGAGACGTAACAACGTACCCACTGCCACATCCAACTTCCATACAAAATTTGGGTCGGTGATCTGACAAGTTAGCCTCATCCGCCAGTAATGCATCAACCAATGCAAATGAATCATCACACGGTTCATATACTTCAGGATGAGAACTCACAAGCTGAATATTGGCAATTCTGGATAACATTTTACTAGCTTCTGTATCTGTAAAATGTTTTATAATTTGCTTTAGTATTGAGTGTTTTGTTGCTTCCCCAAAATGTAAAGAGAGAGCTGTAAATATCAACAAACAATGATGATATCTACTTTTGGTTCGCAGTAACAAAGTTCCATCTTTTAAAAATCCATCCCCACCCACATCCTGGAGTGGTGTAATCACTTTGCTCACTTTCTCACTCTCACCAAATTGAAAAAACAATGTCTCTTTACAAAAATAAAAGCTATCAAAAACATACTCCGTATGTATCTAAAATGTAATAGAAAATAATAAAAATACAAATGCAGATATTTTATTCGATGCCCTCTGTGATTCATTCACCTAAAAAGAATTACAAAAAACTCTAAATAAAAAAACTATTTTGGAAAATATTGTAGTGGGACCCTTCCTCGGACCTTCGCCTTGGGAGGATGCCTTTGTGCACCCGTCTGCCCTTTATTTTTAATTTTTATGTTTTAATACGTTTATGAATATATGCGTCGAAATAAGACATAGACTATGGGGTTCAGTTGCTCTGTACCAATTTTTACAACATCTAAGAAACAAAATTAGACATGCATATTGTGCTAAAAATTAATTTTGAGCTGTAGTGAGAATTATAGATTTTCACAATACTGCCTTTATAAAGGAGATTTATCATTGAACAAATAATTGGTTCTTTATGAAATCTATGACATGACAAAGAGAATGAACTAAACTATTCTTTATTGTAATCACGTATATGTTATTGGAGGAAACAGTCTATGTTAAAACTTAAAAAGTAATATTAGCCTATTAGGCCGAAGGAGGGTAATGAAATTCTTACAAACAAAACAGACTTCCAAAACATGATTTCAAAGCCTTGTGATGGAATTGAGGACTTATGAAACAAACAAAAATGATTAACAGAATGTAAAATCAAAGAGCTGAGATAATAGGAAATCATTTCAAAATTAAAATGCATCACGAAAAAGAAAACAAAATAAACATTGAATAGCATTGCTTAAAAGAAAAATCTGAAACTCTGAAAGTGCATCAACGTGGAAATTACTACATGCTTCTTTTAAAGAAAGCATCAACTTAGTAACAATGTATACTTCCCTATTTTATTAACCAATGCCGCCATAATGACACGTAAAGAAAGATAACTCGCCAAAAGAAAAAGTGGACATTTGCCCCATTCAGTAGCAGGTTCTTGGTTATTCTGCTTATCTACAAATTAAGTAGTTTTTAACTTGCGTATTTGGCGGAAACCAGAATTATCAAACATTTTTCGTTACAGAAAACTAGAAAAGTCAGCCGTGAAAGTCATTTTCAGCCTAATAACCTCTTACCCAATAGGCTCATTAACTCCTATCACCGGTGGTTGGTCTATCCAAGGTATATTCACTGGTACCTTAAATTCCATTCAAGGTGAACCGATCCTGGGACTATATTAGGCTAACCTTCAGGGTTCAATGAAATGACTATTTTTTCAAAGATTTCTTTGATAGTTTGAAGCGTAACTATTATTAAATGAATTGCTATGGCAAAGGTGCAAATGTGCAATTCCTAATAAGAAAAAATGCCCTTTAGGCCCTTATCATGTGAAAACCGTATATATCTATAATATTTTTGACAGTTCATCAATTCTAAGTAACAAACGCTGTCTTAACTTTACAGTTTCAACTTTCAACAGGGAAGACTAATAAACAAAGATTCCATTTTTAAAGTAAGCAAGTAAGGAAAAAACTCAAAAAAGAAGGGAAGGAGGGAGAGCAGTTTTCACAGTGAGGCCGAAAGCAGGGAAGCAAGGAGGGAATCTTGAGTCTTATTATTGACTAGATAGAAAAAGGAGTGAAATACATCTACAAACTGCAAAGAAAAGTGCATTCAATTGTTATTCCATAGAGATTGTTCATGTATAAGCATTGGAAAATCCACTATTCAATAGCACAACAGATTGTTTGTGGGCTTATTCTGTAAAAAGTATTTGTAAAAACCATTTCTCTTTAAACTAATATGCAAAACAAAACTACTTCAGAAACTTATAATAAAGAAAAGTCCATTTATATATTCCAAAAAAATTGAGTCACATTTATCAAATAAAACTAAAAAATATAAAAAAAATAATACTTAAATGCATTTTCATGACCCAAACAAAATTTTCGATTGAACTCTTTTGATTTAACTATTTAAGGGCTACTCTTTCTAATTCGCTTCTCTTTTTTATTTATCCTATCCAAAATCAGCCATTTTATCAAATACCTTGAAAGTAATAAAATTTACAAATCTAATAAAGTTTGCAATTTTAAACGAACAATAAATTTTAACAGAACAACACATAAACATCACATACACAAACTAACATGAACCAACGCAAAACCCAAATCTGATTACATATCAGGAAAATTAGTAATCACTTAAAATTACCCGCACGGGTAGTTCAGTTGGTTTAGTGGTGTGAAATTCGGAACATTGACCAATGTTCGAAACCCGCAGGGACCGTGGGGAGGTTACAGCTCCTGCGTGCTGGGCTATACCTCTGTTGCGCACGGGTATAGGGCCTACAATTATTGGGTCGATTGAGTCATCGTCACTTACATCCTGCCAAAATTAATGTCGGATCTGGGTGTGGGGGCCCTTGGGGCTGGGGATTCTACCTTTTGGAACATAGTAATCACTTAAAATTCAACAACTCAACAACTATGAACTAATAACTTTCAAAAAAACTACTCCAGCTAGGTATGAACTAATCAACTAACGACAACATCATTAACCCAGAACAGATTAACACATAAAAATTAACGAATATGAATATGAATTTATCATTTATCAAGAATTCATTTATAAACATTAAGAAACTACGGCTTCATGAACAATGAACTAGTCAATAAAAGAATGCAAGAGTTAAGGAGGTCGGAGGAGACCGATGAATACCTGAAGCCTGAAGGTGAAAAGGGAGCCTAATCACTGAAGCGCAGTAGGCAGTAGGCCGGAAGGCGGAAGCACACCACTGGTACGGTGGTACCGCCGCACCACAACTCCAGAAGGCAGAGGAGCGAGGACTGATGGATTAAGAAGCCGATAAGGGGCAGGGCGGAAGCCCGAAGGCGTCCAAGCGTAGGCGGTCGGCTGTCGGCAGTCGGCCAGTGGCGATTTAGCAGTTGGCGTTCGTCAATGGGCTGCTCCTTCGGAAAGACTTTCACTCCATTTTCAAAAAAAAAAACTCTTTTTAATTTTTGCATTTTATTGAACTCCAAATTATTTATTTTTGTATTGAAATATTTGATTTTTAAAATCATAATTATTCATAAAAAAATATTTGGCAAAGAATGACGTATAATTATGTTTTTACCGTGGACTGAAATTTGATGGTATGATCAAATCTGAACTGATTTGGTCTGGTAAATGTCTGATTTTTGTGTATTTTGTAACTATATAAGTCTGGTCTGATTTGATCTGGTCTGGTCTGTATAATCAGGAATCGAAAACAGTTCAAATAAAAACATCTTAATATTAAAAGGAATTTTTAAATTAAGAAACAGAATTAAATAAATAATAATAATAATAATAATAATGGATTGCAATAAAAACTAGGGAAAAGGGGCAAAAACACCCATGAAGTTGTCAACAAGGAGGATCTATGCCCACAAACTTAAAGTTTGAGCAAAAAACTTTAACAAACCTAAAAATAAGGCAAAAAGCCCCTTTGACTTACGGAAATAACTTATTATAAGGATCCATCCTTTAACTTGCTCACTTGGCTATTCATTATACCGGTCGTATAAAGGACAATGGGAAAAAGGGAACATACTAAATTAATTTATCTTTATTTGAACAAATAAACACTGGAATAATTCATTGGTTTCAGATTTATAATACTTATTCCATATAAAATCTTAATTTTATAATGTTTAATTTATATTTAGGATGTTTTTACTTGGACTGTTTTAGTCTCGGACCAGATCAGACTTAAACAAATCAGACCAGATCAAACCAGACCAAATTTGACTTCCTTAGTTATAAAATACACAGAGACCAAATGTTATCCAGACCAGACAAGTTCAGACCAGACCAAACCAAACTTAAACAATTCTCAGACAATGTAAAGTGAATTCAAACGAGTGAATTTCTTAAATATGAGTAAAATAATGTCTTTCCACAAAACTCTTCCTGGTGCGGAGGAGATTATTTAAAACGTAATGATAAATGTGTATCTCTTAAACTCTTTATCTTCAAATAATTTGATAAAATGTTATATATCCTCTTTTATTTTCAAATAATTTTTATTTGACTTGCCATTTCTTACGCTTTAATGTATCAATACTTTTTCTAGAGGACTTCAATTATAAAATCAAAGATATTTTTCTATAGTCTAAATTTAGAATCTAATAGATTTAAATATCGCCGTGTACGTATTAATGGAATTTGTTTTTGAAATTAAAAAATAGCCGCAGAGCCCTATAGTAGCGAAAAAGTTTCACCCCTTTGACTTAAAATTATGCATCCGTCCCTGCCTATTTGTGCAATTATGTTTAGGTTTAGTCCTGTTTTGGATTATTTCTCAATTCAAAGTACAAATATTGGTGTGATATTAATATTACACATTCATTTAGTTCCGACTTTTTAAAAAACAGATTATTAAACAAGTAAAAAATTAAATTATTCTAGCATTAGAACAAATATAAATTGTATCATCTATAAAAACTCGAAACATAATCTAAATCTAAAATAAATATTTTTTGGGCGAGCACATATGATGATTTGGGGATCAAAATCTTCCTGGTTTTTTTCTTCAATGCATCACAAGCTACACTTTTAAAGAAATAATATCAAACATAACACACTAACATACGGAGTATTTGTTTTCTATATTGCCTGTATAAAGCCAACCGAACAAATTTAAGGGATGCATGTTTTGTTAACTTACTTCCGTTAGTTCAAGGGTTTTTTTGCCCTCTTATCAGGTTTTTTAAAGACATTTGCTCAAAAATTAAGTTTGTGGGCATAGATCTCCCTTGGTGGCAAGTTAGGGGTGTTTTTGCCCCTTTTCCCTAAAAACTAAATTGAATGAATACATATAAACTTGCAACAAATTTAATTGTGGAAATTACCCGTGTATACCCCTTTTAGAATCATATATCATTTATGTCCCAGATGATTTCTCTTTTCATTTATAGACTTATGTTTTCAATGTTGGATTTTATTTCACTTCTAGATAGATTCAGCGACTTCCATCGATACATACGATTAAGCCTTCACCTTTTGTCATCTTCTTCAGCTCCTTGACTTCTCCCTTCTTATCTCACCACATTCCACAGCGATCTTCCAAATTGTTCTCATTGGAGCAAATGAGGCAGCATCTGAAGAAAGGGAGGTTGCATCTCTGTGTCGTCAATTGCTATTGGAGCTTTGAGTTCACATGTCATGACACACTTTCCGGGATCGATCGATCCCTTATCGCAATAATGTGCACCCCTCTCTGCCAGTCAATTGTTCAATGGTCAACAACCAACGCCGATGCACGCCCTCTGGAGCCCTCGGCAACCCCATCCCAACCAGTGCAACCCGCAACTACACCCTGGTAAGTCATCTTCCTGTCTAAAGTGGCGGTTCAAAGCTCGTTCTTCAATTAGGCTAGAGGTTTGAATTTATCTCAAGTTTGCAGTTTTATCTGCTATGAATAAGTTGCAATCTAAAGGTTCTGCTAGTTTGTATAGTCCATTATCTATGACTCGTCGCTTAATAGATACGACTTTAAGCCGATCTCAGAGCTCGTGAAATCTAGTGGAATCATGTTTTTGTAGTGGATACTCTTGCTCTAGCTGGTAACTACTAGTGGTATTATATTGATGCTACAGGTTTGAATCTGTCTCAAGTTTATGTTGGGATGCTGTTGTTGCAGGAACTTGTCTTGTTGGCATGGCTGGAGAAGGGGACAGGGGATGGGCTACACAATTGAACAATTGTTTCACCGATCTGAAAACAATTGAAAATTGGGTAACTATAGAGGATATTTCATCATAAATAGTCACGGGAAGATGTGCATTGTGAACACAATACGACCATATTACATTGTGAGGAGAATCTGAGGAGGGGATTTCTTCTATGTTTCCTACTTAGTGCATGAGGCATATCCCAACCTTCCCCATGTTCCAGGAAGACTAAGAAAAAAAGCATATGATGAAAAACGCTTACTTGAACAAACAAATGGATGGGTACAGACAGAAAATAATGATAATGTCCCTGAGGAATTCCCAAATTTTGTCCGAGAAGGGTTCACAGTGAAAGTAGTGGCATCAAATAACTATGTAAGGCGTGACTCAGGTTTGATGTTGTTGGACATCATTGTAGGTGACTTTCCATTATGTTGGTTATAACGGGTCTGGACGCCGTATAGACAACACGTACTTGCAAGGCTCTCTTGCAAAAGTGAGAATGGACAATAGTGCCTTGATCCCAGGTTTTGAAGAGGAACTGAAGGACATGAGACCTGGAGGAAGGAAGAGAACGATCATACCTCCAGAGCTTGGACCACTAGTTAGACCTTCGACATTCTTCAGTTCAAAACAGTTTGAAGTTTTCGACGTGGAATTGCTCAGCGTTCAAGATTGTACCCGCCGGACCACGGGATCCTACTCTTATGTTGTCTGCAATTGATTTACTAATTAATATGGAGATATTTTATATATATCAACAATTGTAAATTGAAAGTTTTGTAATGTTTAACTACATTCCTTCATCTTCAAAAAAAGTCATAGGAAGATGTGCCAAAAGGAGACAAACTGGTCTTAAGGGGTTAAAATTTCACGGATTCCATGTAATGAAGGATGGAGAAAGAACTCTGGGCCAGAAGTTTGTAATGGATATGGATGCCTGGATGGACCTTAGAATAGCCGGCAATTCTGACCGGTTGTTAGATACACCCAGCTCTACTGATATTTACCGCATAGTAAAAGAGGTGGTGGAGGGATCAACACAGTTTGAAAAGTGTGGCGGAACGTACACATCTCACCGGCAACACTAAGTAGATACCCACATGTAAGTGCAGTGCGTGTTCAGGTAGGAAAGCCTCATGTTGCCGTCCAAGGATCGCTTGACTATTTGGGTGTTGAGATCATTAGATATAGAAGAATTGACCCATAGATAATCAACGCTTTGTTACCATTTTTTTCTTTCTTCCACTTTCTCAATCCTTACCCGAGTATTTTATATTATTAGTGCATCAGTTAGTACTCCATGCATGAACAACATGCAGCTTGGGTCAGCCATTTTGCATTTTTCAGTTTTCGCAACCATTGTTGTATCCACTTTGTGCATTTTTTCTTAAAAAAGATGCACAAAAGGATGTGAAGGAAATTCAAATTATACAATACATATATGTAATAGATTGAATACCAAATTGAATTACACAATTGTTATGATACTTTTATATATTGTGTTTTGTTGTGTTTTGTTGTATTAAATGTGTTCCTTTTTGTTGAATCATGTTGTTTTTTGTTGCATCGTGTTGCATGTTGTTGCATTTTGTTACTTATTTTTTGTTTCATTTTTTCTCGTGATTTTGGTTGTTTATGCAGGATTTTATTTATCATTGCTACTTCTTTGAAGTAAAAAATCATATGTAAATTTATATTAAATCTCAAAAATGATAAATTTGCATTTATGAAACAATAAAAAAAATTCTAGAGATATCAACAAAAGGAAACAAAAAGAAACAAAAAGAAACAAAAAGAAATAAACAATATGCAACAAAAGGAAATAAAAATAAACAATATGAAAAAAAACAATAAAATTTTATATTTATTTATGGAATTTATAAATTTTTTACTTTATTTTAAAAAAACAACTTTATATATGTTTTGGTTCCTAAAATAATAACTGTTTCAAAAAAAAGTTTCTAGTTGCCTATGATAATTTATAATATTTTTTGTAAGCAGGTGGCTTATATTAATAAGAAAGAGCTTAAGCAGGATACAATCAGACAAAGAACCCATAGTCTACCGTCTGCCCTTGAACCAGATTTAGAATCTGCCACCTCGAATAAAGCAACCAGATTCGTTGATCCTGAATTGGGTTTACTTGAGCCAATGACTAGTAAACTAAATTCTCCATCACCTGTCCTAAGTTCAAGAGTCTTACAGCATAAATTAAAATAACAACAAAACACAAACGTCTTAACTTGGAAATTAAAATGCAGAAAAGATAAGTAAGCAAACTCCAAAATGCATCGATCAACCCTTGGCGGTGGTTCTGGGGGAGGCCGGGCCCTTGCAGCGGTTGTTGTTGCACCAAAGCGGTTTTCCTTCGACTTGACCGCATCTTCTTCATCATTGTTGTTGCACCAAAGCGGTTTCCCCGAGCGCCAAACGGATGACATCAGAACTTGGAACACCGGAAGATTGATCTTCCGGTCCGTAATAACGGCGCCGACCACCGGGATCACGACCTGCTCGTCGGCATCCTCCATCTTCTTGTTTCCAATTTCATCCATCGGCAAATTCCGAGCCCTCCCCTTCATTCCTTCTTGACCGAAAGCTAAACAAGTCGCACCCAGTGCACAGAGCCCAAACGAAGCTCAAACCCTTCCCCAAATCCCCAAAACCAACCTTGCGATATCGTTTACTATTCACAAGCCGAGAAGCAGGCGTTCTTTGATCGGAAAATCGAAAACGAAAAAAACGCAGCTCTAGCGGCGCAAGCCCTAGAGAGAAGTCCCCTTTAATAACGTACCAAGCTTGTAATCTAGACTATATATTCTATACATATCATTGAATTCTCCCAAGGCATATGATCCTCTCCTTGGACTCTACACCTTTGTGGGAACATAGTTTCCACGACCCATTTGAATGACAATATCTGTAAAGGCTTTCTTGAACAGCTCTTTCCTGGCTCGGTGCCTACCACTTTAACTGTGCCCACGCTGAGAATCCACTACAACAAGACCTTTTAAACAAATAATCCAAAAGTAGAAGAAATTTCGTCCACATGCCTCTCTCTAAGATCCGTATAATTTATAATATTTTGAAAACCATTTTTTATATAATTTTTGTTATTTTTTTAAATTTTAAAAGTTTAGAGTTTAACTTTATTTGTTCACTTTTTGAGAACTTTGTTTACCTTTTTATTTTTTAATTTTTATATTTATATATTCTCATTTTATAATTAATTTATAACATTTCAATTATTTATATTGTTGTGTGTTTTAGTTTTTATATAAATTTAGTTGTATATGAAGTCTTCTAAAATATATCTCCACATTTCCATCCTACCGTCTAAAAACATCCAAACCATCTAAACTATACGCCTATGTCTTCAGCATCCAAGGAAAAAACCAGGCTTCCATATTTCCATCCTACTGTCTTCCCCAATTTTGAATTGAATTATTGAAGACCTCAAGAATTACTGGATTGGAAATTCGTCTTCCAACTCGTCCCGTAAGGTATTGATTCAGTACCTATTTCTTTTTTTAGGTTAAGTTTGGTTTTTCATGTTCTTTGCACTTTCTCTTTTCTTTTTTCCCGATATTTTAAACTCCATGTATAATGTGCTTGATTCCATGTTGTTAGTTGTCGCTCGTATGTGGTAAACAGTGAGAGAGGCGTATTTTTTGACTGCTTTGTTAGTTTATACACACATTCAGAGTTGAACAACAGAACTTCAAAGGAATCAAAGCCCAGTGATACGTTGACTCTGAGGCTCAAACCATGAGCATTATCAGTGAGTTGTGCAAGGACAGTTGCCAAGTCATTCGGACAAGGGTATGAAAATGAGTTGGATGCACAGAACGATACAGACAGCAGCGGGGTGTCCTCGCCTCACTAAGTTCACTTTCCACCCCCCTAAGATGGTATGTGTGAGATTCTTTTAGGACATCTTTTCCCCCATTCAAGTTTATCCAAATCTGTAATAATGTTAATTGCTGCTTCCTGAAACTTATTTCAATGAGGGCTTATAAAGGTTGATAAGCTTTCCTACCCTGAATATTTTTCAGTACTCACATGAATGGTTATGAAAAACCCATAGTCATCATCTTGTGAGTTTAGCTTTCTTAGACCTGAAAGGCTGAAATACCTGATTATGTGTGCTTTTTCACTATTTAGGGAAAAAGGATGAAGGATGGGCCAATAGATTTGCTGGGTTTTGTGAAATTGAAATGGGCACAAGTTTTGTTTCACCCTTTGATATCGATTTCTGCTATTTAACCAATTTAAATACTCCATCTGTCCTATTTTTCAATCCTAAACAAAAGTGTTTATTGCTATTGTTTGGTGAATTTGGTCAAACCATCTTTTCTTCCCTTGCTTACTACATATTAGGTTATTACTGGATAAAGTATTATAATATTTTGTTTATAAATAGCTTCAGCTTGCATATTTATATGAGTAGTCTCTTTTTGGGACCTAGGGAGTAGGGAGTAACATTTTGCAGCAATAATTAGTTGCTTTTTAGACGATGTGCTCTTGCTAGTTTTTGCTCAATTGTTTTATTATGCATGATGCTACTGGAACTTTATTAGAATAATTTGCTTGGAAAACAAACGATTGTGATGTGGAGGGATAATGACATAATGTGAATCATCTGCTTATCTGATGTGAAAAACAAACGATTGTGGATTTTATAGTTCGATGATCTTTTTTGTTAAATTTAAGACTCATTTATTTATTAAATTGAATCATGTCCAGGTTGAGGTGGAGTTTGAGAATGGTAGTTTGTATCATTTGTCAGCTGAATATCTCAGAATTTATAGCCCAGCAGCTGATAGTAAGATCCGTTCAGTTGGGGGTGAAAAGGTATAATAATGAAACTGCACTGCGCAACTGTTTCTTCTTGCATGATAGTTTTGCAGTTAATTATTGTCATTCTTTATTATTATGGATCTTCGTTGACCTGAACCGGTTGAATGAATGTTACACCATATTTGATGCCCGGGGGAGTTCGTTAAGTTGCAGAATCATGATGATGCATGTGTTCAGGTGATATGTGGGAGACGTTATGTTGGGATGATGTCAGCAGAGCCAATAGGAAACTATGGCGTGAGGTTGCTGTTTGATGACATGCACAAGACAGGTATCTTTACATGGGAGTACTTGTTCCATCTTGGGAGCAGCAAGTTCTCTCTCATGAGAAATTACATCAAAATCCTCAAGAAGCACGGACTAAGCCGCGACCCGCGACTACTTGTTAGAAGAACAAAGTGACTGATAATGTGAGTGTGGTGGAAATCTGAAAAGAATCTTATACACTCACCACAGTTGATTGAACAAGATCTTATAACTGCATATATATCTGCTCTCTTGCTTGATCTCAAGTACAAAACTAAATTAAAGGAATGGTTTTGAGTACAAAATCAGTATATGCAAGAATAAGAACGGTACAGCCTTTTATTATTTTGTCTGTATCATTGTGGCTTAAAGAGCAAGTTTAGGGCTGCGTGTCTTGAATCTCTTGATTGTTAAGTAATCTTATTTTAATGTTTTCCAAATATTGTAACTAATATTTTCGAAATGAGTTTTGTAGGAACATTTCAATCTATTTTGCTTGTTCCTAATTTCCTAGACGAAAAGTGCATATATATGAATCCATTTTACATAAGAGTTAATCATTCTCTACAATGACTGCATAGCATGTGTTGGGAATTTGGGATTTTATGCAAGTGTGAAATACTATTATTGTATTTTATATTTTATACTACACCGTTTTAAAGTACAAAAAATGGGATCTTTCAAACAATTACTCCTTAATATGGAAAATAATTCTAACCATGCATCACACTGATATTATACTTGTTTATATATGAAATAAGTTATGTAATGAATTAAAAATATTTTGAGCATATTTTCCTAATTTTTGTTTCTTGTTAAAAGAGAAACAAAAATATATCCTTAAATTCAAATTTGGAAACTTTCATACTTGTTATATATAGATAGGCATGGAGCCAAGTCGGTCCGGTTCTGGTTCCAAATTGAGGCAGCCTGGTCAAAAAAAATTCCCTGGGCTCGGGCTTGAGCCGCTTTTTCTCGGGTCTGGGCCGGTACCGGGTACCCAACCGGTTCGGTCCCAGTTTTTGTTAGTTTTTTATTCTATTTTGGCAGGACCAAAGCCTTAAAAAATTCGGGTCAGGACCGAAATCGTCTATTTTGGTCCCCAAATTTGGAAATCGGGATCGTAAACCGTTCTGGGGCAAGTCAGTGTGGTCCTAAAAGTGCTAGACCCAGTTCCGGATCGATCCGGGACTGCGGATCGGGTCCACGTCTAGTTCTATATAGAGTTACAGCCTATATTGAAACAAAGATTTACAAGTTTGAAATTTGGGTAAAAGAAATGTATCCTCATGGTTATATACTTTTCATTATGTCCAAAAGCTACCTGTTTATATCGTCTCCGCCGCTTAGGGATGGACCCGGGCTGGTCCGGTTCCGGTTCCGGGCTGGGCCCGGGCGGACTTTTTTTGCAAATCCTTGGGCCCGGAACCGGCTCGGGTTGATACCAGGTTCAGGCCAGGCCTGGTTCAATGTTTTTTTTTGCTTTCTTGTTATCCCCCGACCTCCCCCCCTCACCCCCACCCCCAAACCTCCCCAAAACACCCAGCCCTACCCTAGGAAAAGAAAAATTGAAAAAACAAAAAAAATTGACCCGGGCCCGGCCCGAACCGCCCGGCCCGGTTTGCCCAAAACTGGGCTCGAGCCCGACCCGCCCAAACGGGCTAAAAGCCCGGAACCGGCCAACCGGTCCCGGTCCGGTTTGGGTCCGCACACTAGCGGGTCAGGCCTGTTCTGGGCTGGCCCGGCCCGGTTTAGTCCATCCCTACCGCCGCTAGAGAAGAAGCAACCCCTCCCAAAGAGTGGAAGATGATTGAAAGTGAAAAATACACCTTACAGCCTTACTACTCTAGAGTCTAGACTGGCCAATTAGCAATTTAGCACTATACTTCTCTTTAGTTCTCCCACTATCATTCAGCTTGCCAAAGAGGGTTGATAAGTGTGGTAATCGTTCTATAGACTTGAATAGAATTGGATCCCTTTACCTCCGAATAATTTGTCTTTTGTCTTGCTACTTTCCTTGCACTAAACATGCATTACAACTTACTCAGGAAAGCTTTCCAACAAAGGCTAAAGGACTATGTTGGGCTATTGAATCCGGAGAAATAAACCTCAACTATCTTATTTGGGTACATGCCGATGCTTTTTAAAAATGGACAATTATATATAGGAATTTATTGGAAATAGAGCATGGGAATAGAGCATTTTTTAGTTCTAAAAAATAGAAACTTTTATATTGAAAAACTAAAAATAGACATATTTTTGTTCTATGGGAATCAAGCATTATTTGTATTGAAAAAATAGAAATTTTGTTTTCAATATGTAAGTACGTAGTATAATATCTTTTTCTTTCTTATTTTTAATTTCGATTACATTTGTTGATTCATGTTAGAGACTCGAGTACGATTAGGGCTATTACTTGAATGTTGTTGTCTTTCGGCCCAAATGATGAGAAATTTAAACCGGCCCATAAGGTTAGCCAATGAAAGATGTGGCCGGTCTGCTGCACCCTGCACGGTGTGTTCTTCACACCGCTGCCCGCTGCACCTCCCTGCTCACACTGCGACCCCGGCCACCGCTATGCACTGCCGCACCTACCAGCCGTCACACCGCTCCCTGCGTCCTGCATCGAAAGTTCACCCAATCGCCGCAAGCTGCAGAAGATTCCGACTTCAGTCAGGTAAAAAGAACTTTTTCGTTTTTTTCAACTAATTCGTTCGTCTACTTCTACTTAATATTTTGTCTACTTCTATTCAGTTTATGCATATTCATTTTAATGGTTGAGGAGGTAATCAGGTAAAATAGTAGAAGATGGGTTAATAATTACTCATATCTTTGTGTTTCATGGGTTTTAAGTCTTTGCCTATGTCTAGTTTTACTTTTTTTTAATACTAATCCCCTAATGGAAAATGGCTTACTCCTACTATTGGCGCAAAAAGTGTTATCCCGTTATCCCTAAGCGCTTTCAGTCTATGAAAATTCATAGAGAACTACTGTGATGTACTGTTTCTATTTGAATCCGATGAACGCTCTTATTTTCTACCCTGTTTTATTTTTTTATTTTTAAGCAATTAAGGTTACTTTATACAGTACATGTTGAAGTTTTGGCCTACATTCTTTAAAATGCTAGATCCCCCAGCACACATGTGTGAAGGAAGGGATTTCAAATTCCATGGATTTCATTAGAATCTGATGGATTCTATACAATTCCATAAAAATCCATTAAAATCTTAATCCTTTAAAATCTTATGAAATTCTAATTGAGGACACCCCCCCTTAATTGGACTGAATTTTTTGGTCTGGTCTTCATTGGGCTTGTCTGTTAGATGTTTTTATGCTTACTGCTTAGTTTACCATTGTCGAAGCCTGATCTGTGGTTGTTGAATTTTAGCCTGTCTAATCTGGTTGGGTGGTAATTAGTCCAATTAAAACATCATTAATCTTGTACGAGCTTTAAGTTACTTTACTAATTTCTGGCTGTTTTCCATCATTTGCAATGGAGCCAAAGATCCATTATTTTTTGGCTTGAGATTATGATGGAATAAAGCAAAATGGCTCACTAAACTGTCTGCGCTTCTTTGTTATGAAGCAGCAGTCGGTCCATGCAATTTTGGACGTGATTTTTACTATGGGTCATCCGGAAACAGTCTTTCTGTGCTTTAGTAGACTGCGTACATCCGACCCCCCCTTACCCCACCGTAGGTGGGAGCCTTTGCGGCACTGGGGTAAATGAAAATGATGAAATGAAAATGATGACTAATTTCTAGCTGTAAAAGTTTTGATGATTGGTTTTAGGCTTGAGCAGATATTTTACTATGTCCAAGGTCTGTCCTGAAGGCCCGAGCAAACATCTCCTTTAGTGCTCCGTTTTATTTTCCATTGATTGCTCAGTTGTAAAGAAGGGGTGTTTTGATTGCTAAAGTAATGGAGCCTGCAACCATGGTGGTTGAAAAACTTAAAGCTGTTGCTCAATCGACTAAAGACTTTGCTTCTAACATTCTCAACTTGAGCCAGAATTCCAACCGCCGGCGCAATCCGGTATTCTTTTTATTTCATATCAAGTACTCCTTATTAGTTTATCAAGTTAACTTTTCTTGCCTTTTGATTTCCACAAAAGTAGTGTTTTTCATTCCCTAGATGCTCTGTTAATGGGTTTCACAATATCGCTTATTTATTTTAAATGAATATTGTGATTGTGTTTCTGGAAGGTAGATATTGTGCTTTTCAACTAGAGTTCAGAAAGATGGGCATTTTCAGTAGTGAACTGTGAAGTATCTGTTTGAATGAAATGCTTTGGAAGGCTCAGTCAAATAGATTGTTTTAAATTAATCTTTCTATTTTTATAAAATCACATACTTCCTCCATCCCACTATTTTTGTCCCATTTTTCCCTTTCATCAATCTTACTAATTTTGTCCCGTATCATATTTGATAATACTCGTCTGGTTTCTAATTCATTCTTACTTTATTCACATTTTACCAATTTAATCAACATCACTCTATGTTGATTAATCATCATACCACTTCTTGTTCCAAAATGGCAAAATCTTAGAGGGACGGAGGTAGTGTTTGTCAAGATATATATACAAATCTCTTGGTGCCTTTCCCTCGAAAAACCTCCTTCCAAAAACCCTTAGGAATGTCATAAGTGCAGCAGGGCATTGGCTTGGCAGGTAAATATGTATCTCAAGCATGAGAATCTTTTTGGTGAAAACTAATTAAGAACAGCTTACTGTTAAACTCCGAGTGTCTTGGGTGATCTCTTTGTGTGTGTTATCTGTCCAAAATTTTAACAAATCACCATTTTATTTGAATGTTCCAGGCTTCTAGCTAAATTGGTTACTAGTGGAAAAAATAGTTGAGCTTTTTTCCTTACTTACTGAAATGAATGACAGTAACACTTGCACCCTCATTTTTAGCTATGACTTCCTTTGTTTCATTACAAAAATATATTTCAAATACCTTACTCGACATTTTTACAATTTCAACTACAACTTTAGCCGTTTCACCTAAGCTCGCTTTGCCAAATTACTTCCAAGGTGAACATACTACTAATGACAATCAGTTTCCATAATTTTCTCATTCACATGCTATAATTTGTGAAACATGATTTTTCAATAGATACAACCTTGTATGGGTGAGCAACCTCTACAACTAATTCTAATTTCCAAGTGATAAATATCCTTTTCCAGATCGAAATATTGAAGAGACTACAACGGGAAACATTTTCAGATATCATGAAGCTAAGGGACAGACAAGAGAAGGCGGAACGGTTGCTTTCCTTTTATAAAACCACCAAAGCGGGTCCCTTCCAAGAAGGTGGCACTTTGGTCAAGGGAGAGGTTGACATGCTAGGGGCATTGGTGATGACGAACACAATTGATCAACCAACATGTGATGCAATTCAAAGGGCTGGGATTAAGAATGGGATTGAATCTAGGATTTGTTTTGAAAGAAGCATTGGTGAGAGAGATAAAATTGTGACAGAGTTTGTTGGGGGTGATAGAGGCAGGGAAGATGCATTGTGGGCTCCACTTTCTCTGGCTAAAGTTCTTTATTGCGCCAATATGAGCAAATGGTTCTCTGCCGTGGCTATTCCGGTGGGTGCTAGGTGTAGGGATTTCAGTGATGGTACAAGTTTTCCTCACGAGGTAACTACTCTTTCTTGTAGTCTGCTTTACGTAGACCTCATTTGGATTGCTTCGTTTTGGCGTATAATGATGTTTTTACTTGGATGGGTTTCAGTCCCAGATCACACTTAAAACAAACCTGACTTCAACAGTTGTAAAACACCACATCTACCTGACAAGTTCACACCAGACCGGACTTAAATAGAACACATCAAACCAGAAAACTACTGTCCAAGAAAAAATATCCTGAATTATAAGCCATTTTTTCACCGCCCCACCAACTTGTAATGAAATAAAGCATGGTAGAAGTTACTATGTTTGCGGAAGAGGCGGAAATGGTTGAACTTGATCCTCTACCATTATTTTCACAATTTATATATTCTTTAACTTACACATATAATTTTTAAATGACTCATATAACACAAGTACACAACTTAAGGAATTCCTTACCAAACAAGCTTCTATTATGGAGCAATATACATTGTGCTCTCGATGATAAAACAATTGCATACTAGCTATATATTACATCCCGTCTTTTGCCTAAAAGTTGCGGGTCCTTTCAGAATACTGAAGTTACCAAGGACAAATATAAGAAGGAACAAAATGCAGGGGAAAATAAAAATTGAGCTAGAATTCAATGAATTTATTGTAGACATTTGTTGACACTTGTTTCATTTATTGATGTGTTATTTAAAGACTAAGAAGTTATACTTAAAAAAATAAAAAATCACTTTTCATTTTCCTTTGCATTTTTCTAGGTAAAACTCAGCATTAAAATAAAATAAAAATTGAGCAAAAGTGCAGCAACTTTTTTTTCTTCTTGGTGTAGCTTTTTCTGGAAACCAAAAATTCCTAAGTTGTCATTATTGCTATCTAATTTTTCAGGAAAAGGCCCTTACAGATTATTCAGCAGTAGGACCACCCATGTTGAATCATGTAAATGGTAGTGCGGTTGGCATAATGGTAAGGAAATCAAATTTTGTGGCCTCATTAGCTCAGTTCATCTCTGTTGTAGGACAATCATCACCATCAACAACCCTTCCTACAACTCTCACTTCTTTCAGCACTTCTGGCCAAATCGTTTACCAACTTTCCACAAGTACAAAGCTAAGCCTTATTGGCATACAAAAAGTGCTGAAAGGTTCAAACCAGCAACCCAGACTTGGATCCATGATCTTTCCTGTTGAGTTTTGGAGGCAAAATGGACAATCTTTAGAGGAAGACGGTGACACAAATGGATCTATGGCTTTTATGATGGAGTCACGTCTTGACGAGAGTACAAGAATAGGAGGTTGGGTTGAGATGGAAAAAAAATCACAGCCAAGAAATGTGAAATGGGCTGTTTCCATGTCTGATACCCCTGAGGATGGTTTAGGGTGGGGTTTGAGTTTGAGTGGGTTGACCCAAAGTCCAAGAAGCAACTGGGAGCATTTTCAGGTGGAAGCATGCCTTAATTTTAACTTGGGGAAGAAGTGTAGATTGCAGCCTGCTATTCTTTATGTGAGGGATGGCGATGTCCAATTCCCATCTCTTATGTTTCGGTCAAGCTTTAGCCTCTAGGAGTTTTTTTCTTCATATGAAATAGAATCTTGGGTTATTGCTTAATGCTTATTCTATATGTGTCTACCCACTTGTTTTTTTATAGAGAAAAGAGTCAAATGAAATTGTCACATAAAGTCATGTACTCAATAAAATGTAATATAAATACGTCTACTTATAAAAAATAATCATATGAGTCTTAACCACCTGTTGGCTGTTGACAACCTCGTAATCCCGGTTTTAGCGTACATCTGACTATCTTTTTAAAATAGATTTAAGGCTAACGTGAAATATTGATCAGAATTGGCTTAAATACAAGGTAAACATAACGGCACGTAAGCTAAAATAGATATTAAGAGGTTATCAACGAGTCACTTTGACTCTTTCGATTGTTTTTTATAAGTAGACGTATTTATATGATACTTTATTGAGTACATGCCCTTATGTGACGATTCCTAATAATATTATACCGTATTTGATCGTTTTCTCTCTTTTTTTATATTATCATTCTCTATGATTGTAGATTGGTATGAAGCAATCTTTGGTCGGATGCTTCTATTCCATTTCAAGCTTCTTTTCACTCGTAATGGCCAAATTATCTAGAAAAACAAACTGGTTAATCCTAAAAAGTAATTCAAACATAAAATGAAGAAGATAATGTAAAATATGAAGCCTGAAATGTCATTTTGCTTAATTTCCGGTCATTTCAACCAAAAAACTCTTGAAGAGCATGTATGTGTATTATATTCTTTTTTTTGGAAAGAAAAAGTGTATTATATTCTTCTATTTATTTATTCATTCTTAGAAATGTCACCAAAAGTCCAAAACAATCTGATGGTTTTTTGCTGTTATCGTTGATTGTTGTAACTTGAAAGGCCACCATTTGAAAAGTTGAAAGACGATCTTCAAGTTCCCTTGAAGCTGTTTTCCTGCCTCACCTATGATGTAGGGGACTAGGGGTGGACCCCGTTCGGTCCTGGTTTCGGGCCCGGACTGGCTGTCTCGGGTATTAAATGTGAAGACCGGGATAAACCTGGGTTTCAACGGACTCAGTTCCGGTCCGGTCTACCGGTCGGTTCCGGTCTGGTTCCGATCCCCCCTTAATAAAAAAAAGTTAGCCATCGGGACCGGAACCGGGATCGGGACCGCCCGGTCCGGTCCTCATTTGGCTTACCCGGGTCTGAGTCCGGATATACCCGGTCGGGTACCCAGTCCAAGACTGGGTCCGGAAAATCGGACCCAATCTGGTTCGGGATCACCGATCGGGTCTACCCCTACTATGATGTTTTGAATTAAATTGATTCAAGTTTCAAACTAGATTTAAACAAATCAGATGAGATAAGACTTGGACAGTTATAAAATAATACTCTGTATGACATAAAAAACTTCAGAAATTATTAATTATAGTTGAAAGCTGGCCAAGCCTTAGGCCATCTCTAATCGTTTACACTATTTTCTACACTAAAATGATGTAAACATCACATCATACAGTATTTTATCTCCAACAGTTTACGTCATTTTCATCACAAAAAAGGAATATTCCCTTTTTATTCTTTTTACTAACTTTTTACCATTCTTCTATTTAAGTATCTAATTATCATATATTTATACATTAGCCCCTCATTTAATATTTTGACATTTCACACATTATTTGACACATACAAACTAAAATACACCATTTTAATATGTATTTTCACGCATTTCACTAATTAAAATACAATAATCAATATTTCACAAATACAAGCTAAAACCACATCGAATTAAATATTACAATAATATTATACGTAATAATAATTTGTACATCATTAATAAAGTACGTAGTACTACTTAAGCTTAAAGCAATATCAGTTCAGACCAGACCGGGCCAAATCATACCAGACCAGAGCAGACCAGCAAATTTCACTCCAAGTAAAAAACATCCTAATTTGTTGTTTTAAAAATGGGTCAAAACTATAACTATCAAAACTTTGGGTCATTTTTTAAATAAAAAAAATTAAAAAAAGAAGATGGTGTGGGATTTGGTGTACACCATATATGGCGTGAACTTCTCCCCTCTCCATCAAAATGGTGTAATGGTGTAAGATTTGGTGTAATTGTTGAAGCATTTTTTTGGCAAATACACCATTTTGATGTGGGATTTGGTGTATGTTGGAGTTGCTCTTAGACCAATGAATCAATGATCAACATTCTTGAGAAGAGATGTTCAGAACAAATGATCTCTTTTATAGGTACACACTCATGCACTCTAAGAAAAAGTGAAAATTGTTTAAGGAAATTATATGTTGTATGCTATCGTTTAGATAGCATATGATGTAGGGGTGGACCCGGTTCGGTCCTGGTTCCGGTCCCGGACTGGCTGTCCCGGATATAAAATGTGAAGACCGCGATCGAACTGGGTTTAGATTAGGAATCGATCTATTTCAAAAGTGACAGAATCTAGAGTCATTTGTTTCCATATCAATATGCAATCAAAAATAGAATCCAATAAAAATAAAAGGTGCAGAGTATAAAAATAACTAAATAATTGTTATATATAATGGATGACATGACATGATTATGTGGCGCTTTGTATGCTCTTAAAAAGTTCCTCTTATATACTCCCTCCATTCCTTAATACTTTGCCATGTTTGACCGACACGCGAAATAATAACAATTTTTCTATAGGTACCCCAAATTTACCCCATTTCCTACCTCATATAAAAACCCTCCCCCTTCTCCACTTTTCTTCTCCCCTCTCCCCCACTTTTCTTCTCCTTCCCTCCTTCCCTCTCTCCTCCCTCTTTTCTTTTTACATACGCAGCCCCCCATCCTCTCTCCTTTCTTTCTCTTTTCTCCAAATCTGATTTCTTCCCCATTCCAACCTCTCTTTCCATCAAATCTTCCCATTTTTACAATCTTTTCTCCCTCCGAGCTTCTTCTCCCGCTTCTCACCTCTTCTCCCTTCTTTTTTTCGTTTCAAATGCAAGAGCTACAGTAGATCGGACGAAGGGGAGAGCTGGGTGACGTTGGTTAGCTTGACATGGAGAGGCAACGACGAAAGTACGGACCAAAAGGCTTTGAATGACTTGAGAAGATCTACTTTTCTTGATATTTTTCTTGATTTTTGGTGTGTTTTCGAAAAAAAGGGTTGTCTGTCTGACAGACAATTGTAAGTGCAGTGTCTGTATTTGTTAGTAAGACTCATGAAGTTGTCTGTCATTTGAACGTTAGTTGTCTGTATTTGTTTTGAGTTGTCTGTATTTGTTTCGAGTTGTCTATCATATTGTTGTGAGAAGTTTGTAAGAGTCGTGAAGTTGTCTGTCTGTAATTGATGGTTAATTATTTGTATTTGTTTTGAGTTGTCTGTATTTGATTGTGAGTCGTCTGTATTTTGTGATGTTTATTTTTTGAGATGTAATTAGTAAACGAGACAGACATTAAATATACACATCCAGACAATAAGTATACACATACAGACATTATTTTATTGTGTATTACCATTTTGGAATATGTTTCATAAAGAAGACAGACAATACGTATAACTAGACAGACAATAGAGATAACGAGACAGACATTATTTTCACCACAAATTACATACAACTCACAATGAAATGACAAACAACTAAGTATGAGTTACAGAAAACTTCACAACTCAAAATAAATACAGACAACTAACAAACAAATGACAAACAATTAAATATCAATTACAGACATTTATTTTTCAAATGACAGACAATTTCATGACTTTTACAGACACTGCACTTACAAGTTGTCTGCCTGACAGACAGTCCTTTATATTTCGAAAATACATCAAAAATGAAGAAAACAAAATCAAGAAAAGAAGATTTGCTGCTCAAGTTGTTCAAATCTTCTTGGTTTGCCTTCGTCGTTGTCTTCCCTTGAGGTTGCATCCGAAATAGCAACCAACGTAGGCCCGCCGTCGGCAACCGGCGTAGATCCGCCGTCGGCAACGGGCGTAGACCCGCCGTCAGCAACGTCACCGGTGGAAGTGGAGATAAGCAGGAGAAGATTTAAGGTTGGAAGAGGGAAAAAATGGTAAAAATGGGAAATATTTTGAGATGGAGAAGAAAGGGGAAGGGAGGGGTGCATGAAAAGAGGAGGGGGGGGGGGGGGGGGGAAGAGAGGTGGGGTGCAGGAGAGAGGAAGGGAGAGAAGAAAAGGGGGGTGAGTTTTTATATGGGGTACAATTGGGGTAAGGTTTGGGGTACCTATAGCAAAATTGAAATAATAAAGTAAAAATTGTGTGGTTGAGATATGTGTAGAGGAGAGAGAAATGACAAGAACCACAAATTCATCGATTAAAAAGGAAAGTGACAAAGTTTTTGAGACATTCAAAAAAGGAAAGATGGTAAAGTTATAAGGGAATGAGCGAGTATATATATATATATATATATATATATATATATATATATATATATATATATATATATATATATATATATATATATATATATATATCCTAATTTAGATTAGGAATCGATCTATTTCTAAAGTGATGGAATCTAGAGTCATTTGTTTCCATATCAATATGAAATCAAAAATAGAATCCAATAAAAATAAAAGGTACGGAGTATAAAAATAACTAAATAATTGTCACTCCCTCCATTTTAAAACAAGTTTCCCATTGCTTTTCACAGTTTTGAAGGAAAATTTTTTACTGAGGGTAAACTTTACTGTTTTGACACTGTTGGGGCACTGTTTGGACATTGTTTGGCACCGTTTTGACACTGTTTTGTACTGTTTGGCACTGTTTTGATGTAGTTAATTTGGCAAATAAGGAAAGGGGAACTTAATTTGGGAATTACCCGAAAAGGAAAGTGGGAACTTGTTTAAAAAACGGAGGGAATATATATGATGAATGACATGACATGATTATGTGACACTTTGTATACTCTAAAAAAATTTCTTTTATATATATATTGATATTGATTTTAGTTAAACTCTCATAATTAAAAACGAGTTCATACGAATATTGAAATAAATTTGCTGGGTTTATCCACTAACCAATTTATATACTACTCCGTATTTATTACGTAGTAGTTATTAGAAGTTTATACGGACCCTCGTGTTCTAGGTCGTTTAAATCGTTGTATGGGCTATAGAGTAATGTTTTTCTAATTTCCGATGTACGGAGGAGTAAAATGATGTGCATAGAACATTCCAAATCCCCAATCTGACAAATAAATAAATACCCCATTAAAGCTAATCTTGACCGTCTATTTCCTCTACTATTACTGGAATGCCAAACGAAAGGCCACATACTAAAGAAGTTTTTTTTCATACTAAAGAAGTTATTAAGATATACTAGTACATATAGGAGCCCGTTTGGTAACAAGAAAATCGACTGATTCGACTGATTCTGCTGAAATTTATGAAGTTATGACTGAAGTGGCTGCATTGGCTGATTCTGCTGATTTAAGAAAAAATTATTTTTAAAATATATTTTATTAATAAAATAATTAAAAAATTATATGTAAAAATAGTTAAAATGGTCATCTACAGTGATTTCAGCCAATAGAATCAGAAAAGTAACTCCAACCCTACTTTTTCTTATTATTACATAATTCAGCGAGCGAAAACAAAAATTACATGTTTGATAAAAAAATTGATTGATAAGCTGAAAAACAATGTTATCAAACGACCCCTCTAAGTATATATGGAGTATTTTATGTCTAATTTTATTTGCTTTCTATCGAGAGGCATAATGATTCATTACTATTAAATATTGTCTCACATTCATGAAACCAGGCCTTTCACAGTTTTCTTTGATAAAGCGATTTCACAATATTTTACATTCATGAGATCAGGCAGACCGATTCATTACTTTTATTTACTTTGATAGGCTAAAGTTACTAATTTAACCTCTCCATTGATTCTTGATTTCTTGTCCTAGTTATTAGTTTGTAGCTTGTCTTGTAGTTACTTCATTCCACAATAATCTTTTGCCAGCCTTATTTCTTTAGTTAATTAAAAAAGTTGTTAATCCCTTTTAAACTAATAATTTTTTTTACTGATGTCATTATTTCCTTTTTGACAGAAATCTCACACAATTTTTATTTTATTTCTCCCATGTAATTAAAAAATGTTTAAATTTTAATAGTTTATGGAACTAAAGAAGTACAATATATCATAATTAAATGCTTTGTCATTGAAATGCTCAATTTGTAGCAAATATTATCTTGAAAAAGCTCACCATGACATTAAACTTTCTAGTGAATATTGTACATTCATAAAAGTACAATATTATTAATACATACATACTATTGCAAATACACACACAAACACATACTCCTTATTAGGACTAATATACAATTCTCTTGTACTCCCTCCGTTTCCAAAAGAAAGTCACGGTTTGATTTCACGATTATTAAGGAAATAAATTGACTTCACTGTAGAAAACACTGTTTAGACACTGTTTGACACTGTTTGACACTGTTTGGATGCAAATTTCTTTGCCAAATAAGGAAATAAGAGAAATGTGATTCTGTTTTTGAAAATGAGGGAGTATATGAATACTCAATAACTTCCACTTGAATTAGTTTCATTGTCAAATCATATCAGACCTTAACAAATCAAACTCCATCAAAACAAATTTTGAAGGAAGCAGACTAAACTAACATAATAACATACCTTTTGCAAATGAGGACAAACAATGTCAAACAAAATTTGATGGGATTATATTAGAGAAAATATACAGAACGACACAAAATGAAATACTAGGAGAGGAAATTAAAAAAAAAGAGAGAATTTAAGATGAGTTTGGGAATACCAAACGCCTCCATTCGGTTTATAAAGGCAGCACAACAGACAAATTTAGACTGCAACAATGGGTGATAAACTTAAGCCAAAAGCGGTTGTTTCCGACGAGAGCAGTGATGAAGAGGCAAAAGAGGATGAAAATGAGCTCGATCTTCCCTTGGATAAATTGAATTTGGGTCCTAGAAAAAAGCTCCTTGTCCTTTGTCTCGGCGATTTACTCGTCCGTAGGGTGCACCTTAGAGATAAGCACACCGTTCGTGGGTTCAGACCGGACGTCATTCACGGGAAATTTCTAGGTCAGGCTAAAAATACATTCCCATTTATGACTGTTTTTATACTGAAATTGTAGCTTTCGTTTTTCTGATTATGGAATTTGAAATTTGGATGAATTTGGAGCAGTGTTCAGGAGGCCATTTTGCACGGACTTCATGAAATTTTGCTTTGACCAGTTCGTGGTCGGGTTGTGGTCTTCTGCAAGAGAGTGAGAATGTTATATTATTTTATATTAATGTGTTATGTTATTAACAAAATTTGAAATATTCTTGTGTTGTATATGATGAATCAACGATTGCTGGGTTTGATTGAATATATATGAACTTATGTATGCACAGCCATAATATTGATGCTGTTTTGAGATGCATCACTGGTTATGAAAACAGAAACAAGTTGGCTTTTGTTTGGGTGAGTTTGTTTTAAAGGTGTTACTTAACAATGGCTGTACTAAATATGTCAAATTAAAGACTGTTTTTGCTTGTTGGATGTAGTCACAAGAGGAATGCAGAGATTCTGGAGATTATTGTCTGGAAAAGAAGGAAAAGCCTCTGTTTCTTAAGAATTTGGAAGATCTTTGGGAGAAGAAATATGGCTATCATGCTGATCTTCCATGGAAAAAGGGAGAATATTCAGCTTCAAATACTCTGTTAATTGATACTGAACCGCATGTGGCTCTGCTGAACCCAGTGAGTTTAATATGAGAAATAATGGTCAATATTCAGTGCTCCCTCCTTTCTTTTCTACTCCGTATTTACTCCTTTCTTTTTTACTCCGTATTTATTAAGTGTTCTATAAAAGTTGCAACATTAAAATTTCAACTTTTTATAATGTTTACTAATATGTGGTTAATTAAATATAACTACAGTCAACTTTGTATGTTGGCAAACGTGAAAGTCAAATTGCTGCAACTTTTAAAGTATTTTATGATTTTATAAAAGAATATACTAGTACAAAGTAGTAAGGATAATATAGAGGGTAAAACACAAATGAAAAAGTAGGAAAAGAATATATTTTTTTTAAAAAGTAAAAATCTAAGGCCAATAAAAAATTAAAAATGAGGGTATGAAAGTATTTTTAATGAGAAGAACTTATGAAACATGAAAATGTGGATACATAATATTCCTTTCGACCCATTGGATTTTGCTAACTTTCTGTTTTTATTTGTTTCAAAAATGTTGTCACTTTTCTTTTATGTTTTTATTTGAAGATTTATTACCGTGATTTTTTATTTGAAGATTTATCCAGCTTCAAAAGCTGTGTTTTTATTTGTTTCAAAAATGTTGTCACTTTTCTTTTAAGATGAAAGTAATAAATTATTTCGTATGAATATATTACCGTGATATTTTAAGAAAAATTGTAATTATTAAACTACTTAGCCAAAATAATTGTTATATGTTGTATCATTTAACTTAGCTAAGTTTTTAGTTGATTTGTGATACAACAGGTAAGTTCCTTTTTGGCAAATTGCAAATGAAAAATTATAACATAACTCAAAAAGATTGAGATTATATCGTGATGTATTATTTTACTATTATTTTGTCAGGTTGGGTTTGAGAATGTCTTGGATGGGCACCATTTTATGTTGACAAATAAAAAATTATGCGTGTTTAATTAATTATTAGAACATGAATTCAGAATTTCTTTTGTGTAGATCATAAAAGTTTACAATATTTTGGGACCCAGACGTATTATTCAAAATATTCATTCTTTTGATGTTTCGTAAAATGCAATTTGAATTGATATTTCAATATTATATGCTGTACATGTGCAGGATAATACTGCTATATTTCCGAAACCATTCAAAACCCCAGATCCTGGAGACACATTCTTAGGTGAACACTTTTATTGCAATGCTTTGTTTTTATGTACATTACAGCTGGTGTTTTTAGATTTATAAGGGTTTAAGATAAGATTTATATTTCCACCATTTTAAATCACGATTTAGGGTCAAATGGTGAGCTGCGGAAGTTTTTGGAGGGTGTGACAGATGAAGAGGACGTTCCTACTTATGTGAAGAAGCATCGCATTGGGCAGCCTCCGATTACGCCTTCCCATCCTGACTGGTCCTTCTATCAGAAAATCGTTCACCGCTTTCGCAAAAAGTAAATAAAATTTGCTGGAGAAAAAATGCTATTGTTCACTTAATCTCTGTTCTCAAAGACAAAATTTGCTCTCATTACCTGACTATTAATAAGAAGTTGATGGCTCTATTATTATTGTTATTGATGGAGTATATGGGTCTGAGCCCCAGGACCCACATACCCGGAAGAACAGAGCACAAGACAGAGTGGCGTCCTCGTCGGCCAAACGCCCTCGTCGGCCGAGAGGAAGCCAACCCGGATTATGATCCCGAGTCCAAGGAACCCGGGTGCCCCCGTCGGCCGTGCCCTCGTCGGCCGTGCCCTCGTCGGCCACGACCTCGTCGGCCACGAGGACCTCCCAGAATCGGATCCTACACTTACTCACTTGTACAGCCCATTAGTGGCTTTGTATTCGGTCCAGTAGCGGTCCAGTTGTAAATGGGCCTCCCAAGCCCAAGGCTTGGGAGCCCAACCCTAATTTTCTCTATAAATACTTCCCTTGGGAGTAGTTATAGGGGTTACGAAATCATTCTATTGAAGCATATTATTGCACTTCTCTCTCTAGCTCTCACTTCTCTCTAGATATACTCTATCATTTGGTGCTCTCGTTGAGAGCTAGAACAATCAAGTTAGCACCCTTCGTCGCTACCAAGCACAGCTAACCACTGATCATGGGGAGAACTAAGTCAAACCGCAACCTCGTCAGCAAAGCCATCCCTGAGGACCAAGAGCCCATGGAGCACGATGAGGACGCCACGGCCGACCAGGTCGGCGGAGGGGACCTCTTCCAGGAGGCCTTCAACCTCACGACGGACCTCCGCAACCAATTCAACGGCGGAGTCCCCGACGCCCGCCTCGGCCTGGAAAAGAAACGAGCTGAGAAAGCGGACCACGCCCCGGCCCAGCCTATGGCCGCGGCCTCTCCGTCCGTAGATCCTCAGGTCCAGGCCGCACTATCGGCTATCATCGCTAGCTTGGCTCAGAATCCCACCGTCCTCAGCGCACTCTTGCCAAGGACCGGGGGAAACGTCACTCCACCTCCTCATCCCCAACCCCTGGCTGACCAGATAGGCAACAATGAGGGGGTTGTGGACCCAGGACACGGCGTCGTCCCACTCCCACCCTGTTTCCCCTCTTCGGCCCGGGCAGACCCCAGCGCGTGGAAAAGCCTCTGCCTTCAATAGGCTAGGTGACACGCGCCGTCGTCCGGTTTCGGAGAGGATGGCGGGACAGATTGGTGATCCTCGTCCTGGCTCGCCAAGGGAGAGTTTGGGGTCTGTGTCCCGGACAGCGGACCAGCCCCGCCCGGACAAGGGCAAGGGGAAGTTGCACGAGGGTGACGTGCGTCACCAGATCAACGCGGCTCACAACGAGCGCAGGAGGAACCAGCCGGGTGCCGTCGCGGCCGACGGGGACCCCCGGGACGAGGTCATCGCCCAGCTGGAAAGAAGGTTGGCTCAGATGGAGGCCAAGCAGTCGGCCAACGTCCCTACGGCCGGCGCCTCCAACGACCCCGGCCTCAACGCGCTCATGAACAAAGTCAGCGCCCTGGAGAGGGAGCTGGCCGAAGGTCGGGGTGACCCCATCATCCAGGTCAGGACTAGGACCCCTTTCACCAACAGGGTCCTCTCGGCCCCCATCCCTGAGAAGTACAGGGGAAATGCCATCAAGTCCTACGATGGCCGATCAGACCCCCAGGAGCACTTCACCCGTTATCAAAACAACATGCTGATGGTGAACGCGTCCGACGAATACCTCTGCCGTTGGTTCCTCTCTACTCTCGAGGGGCCAGCGTACGAGTGGTTCAACGGGCTGCCAGAGGGAAGCATTGACTCATGGCAAGATCTCGCCCAGCGCTTCCTCACTCACTTTGCCGGGAGGAAGCGCGCCAAGAAGTATTTCACCCACCTCCTCTCCGTCAAACAGCAGCACGAGGAGTCCCTCCGGTCATTCATCGACCGGTGGACGAGGGAGACCGAGGAGGTCGAGGGGGCCGATGAGCACACCCTCCTCGCCTTGTACCAGGGAGCCCTCCGCAGCTCCCCGTACGCCAGGAGCCTCATCACTGACCCCCCGAGGTCGTACGCCAAGGCGCTCCAACGCGGAGGCTTGTATGCCGACGCCGACGAGCTCCACAATCACAAGAGAGAGGGGGGCCATCCCCCCAAGAAGACAAATCCTTCGCTGACCTCGGGCCCGTCCCCGGCCGGCCAGGGTGCCCAGGGCCGCCACGGCTCTGGTGGACAAAGTAAGAAAGATCGCCACTGGCGGCCGAGGATGGAACGGCCGGGGGTAGCCCTCACCCACCCGGTCGGCACCATCCTCGATTATGCCGAAAAGCACGGCCTCATCGAGCAGGCTCCTCGGCCGGCCGAGGAGGTCCTGGCCATCCAACAGGGCGGCACGTATTGCCGGTTCCACAAGAACTCGTCGCACAACACCGACGATTGCATCACATTAAAGAAGGCCATCGAGCATCTTATTCGCCAGGGGGAACTCTCCCAGTTTGTCAAAGGTGGCCCACGTAAAAACACTTGGGTAAACACCGGAAAACGTGGGGGCGAACCCTCTGCGAAGAAGTGCGAGATTGGTAGATTCAGCGACGACGAGGACTTCGAGGAGCCTCCGCCGAAGAAGAATCACATCCACCTCATCGTGGGCGGGAACACTGGGGGGGACTCCGCCACTCAGAGGAAGAAATGGGCCCAATCCCTTTACATTGGAGAGGTGTCCCACGTTCCCCCCCAGCCGAAGAAGCAGCGAACGGAGGCGATCACCTTCACCAACAAGGATCTGCCTCCGGGTACGGAGTCACACAGGGACGCCCTCGTCATCCGATGTGAGATCGGTGACTCCATCATCCACCGCACTTACATCGATACGGGGAGCTCCGTCAACGTGATGTACCTAGACATCTTCAAGCAGCTGAAGCTGGACAGAGCTCTGCTGAAGCCGATCAAGACCCCGTTATCCGGCTTCACCGGGGACTCTATCGACGCTGAGGGCACGATAGTCCTCCCCGTGGAAGTCGGTGACGGCCCCCACCATGCCAAAATTGACATGGAGTTCATGGTGGTCAACCTCCAGTGCGCCCATAACTTGATCTTGGGCCGGCCAGCGCTGGAGGACTTGGAGGCCATCATCTCCATGAAGCACCTATGTTTGAAGTTCCCCACCAGCGACGGCATCGGCTACGCCAGAGGAAATCAGAGGATAGCCAGAGCTTGCTACCTCAAGCTGACGAGGCCGGCCGAAAGGGAGGGACAGCGGATAGATACCATCACGGCCGCCGCCGCCATGGACGAGGAGAGGCTACATGCGGAGCCAGCCGAGGAGGTCGAGGAAATCCCTCTGGATACCTCTCGGCCGGAGCGGGTTCTCAGGGTCGGAAAGCAACTCCCCAGGACCAGCGAGACGCCATCCTCCTCGTCCTACGGTCATACGCCGTTGTCTTCGCGTGGGGCCCAGACGATATGCCCGGCATCAGCCGCCAGGTGATCACTCACCGGCTGACCGTCGATCCGGCCTCCGCGCCCGTCAAACAGAAGCGGCACTACTTGTCCGCTGACAGGCGGGACTTCGTCAAAGGGGAGGTCGCCATGCTCCTATCAATCAGACATATCAAAGAGGTGAAGTACCCAACATGGTTGGCCAACGTCGTCCTCGCACAGAAGCCGCCGACGTTCAGAATGTGTGTTGACTACACTGACCTGAACAAGGCGTGCCCCATGGACCCGTTCCCTCTCCCCAACATCGATCAGCTGGTGGACGAGACGGCGGGGTGCGAGTTGATGTCGTTCCTCGACGCTTTCAGAGGGTACCACCAGATCTCCATGTATGAAGGGGACGCCGAGAAGACGGCATTCATGACCCCAGAGGGAATCTTTTGCTACCTCGTCATGGCCTTCGGACTCAAAAACTCCGGCGCCACCTACACTAGGATGGTGGCCAAGATCTTCAGGGCGGTCCTTGGCCGGACGATGGAGGCGTACGTCGACGACATGATCGTCAAGAGCAGGCAGGCCTCCCACGCCGACGACCTCCGGGAAATCTTTGAGATAATGAAGGAATTCAGGCTCCGCCTCAACCCCAAGAAATGCGCCTTCGGCGTCCAGGGTGGCAAGTTCCTCGGCTACATGGTCAGCCGGAGAGGCATCGAGATAAACCCGGAAAAGACGCAGGCCATCATCAACATGGAGCCGCCCTGCAACGTCAAGGAGGTACAGCGACTGACGGGGCGCCTGTCGGCCTTGAACCGTTTCCTCTCCAGGTCAGCTGAGAGGGCACTCCCCTTCTTCCAGATCATGCGCAAGGCAACCAGCTTCAGGTGGACGACGGAGTGCCAGGAAGCATTCGACGAATTGAAGAGGTACCTGTCGTCCCCACGCATACTCTCCAAGCCCAAAGCCGGCGAAACCCTCTTCCTGTACTTAGGGGTGAGCACGTCGGCCATCAGCTCCGTGCTCATCCGTGAGGACGAAGGGGTGCAGAAGGCCATCTTCTACATCAGCAAAACACTTAGGGAGGCCGAGCTCAGGTACTCCCCCATTGAGAAGACGGTACTGGCCATCGTCCACACCGTGAAGAAGCTGGGGCACTATTTCCAAGCCCACATCGTTCATGTGCTGACCCAGCAGCCTCTCGGCGCGCTCATGAGGATCCCCACTAGCTCCTCGAGGATGGTGAAGTGGGCGATCTTCCTCAGTCAGTTTCAAATTGAGATCAAGCCAAGGCCATCTGTCAAAGGGCAAGCCTTGGCCGACTTCGTCATCGAATGCACAGCAAGGGAGACGGTCGTCGCCAACCCCGGGCCGGAGCTGGACGACACGTGGACCCTGTTCACTGACGGCTCGTCGGCCGCGAAATCATGCGGCGGCGGCGTCGTCCTCATATCCCCTGAAGGATTCAGAGCCTACTATGCCATCCGCTTCAACTTCAGGGTGTCCAACAACGAAGCCGAGTATGAGGCCCTCCTCAGCGGTCTCAGACTCGCCGCCGGCCTCAAGGCCAAGCACCTCAGAATCAAGTGCGATTCCAAACTAGTAGTGGGCCTGGTGGAGGGATCGTACGAAGCAAAGGAAGGCCGAATGAGGCAGTACAAACAAGCGACGGAGGAATTGCTGAAAGCGTTTGAAACCCAT